GTGCATGGTGCCAGCTCCCGTGGGGGCTACAGACACCGCCCTGGCCTCTTGGGTCAGAGCCCCTTCCTGTCTGCCACCTCACAGTGTTCACCCAGGACTCGAGGTTCCAAGGCAGGTAAAGAAGCCCTTGGGCATCTCCACAAAGGACCACTAGCTGTCCTCATCCCCTACCCAGAAGAGCATTCTCAGCTAGGGGAGAATGGGGGAGAAAAGCCGTCAGCACTTAGCAAGAATCATTATTTTGGCTAATGTAGGAAGTGTGGGACTCACCCAGGATGTAGCTGGGTAGACCTGACTCCTGAGAATTCCTTGATAGACTCTTTTTTTTTTTAAAGATTTCATTTATTTATTCATGAGAGATACACAGAGAGAGAGGGAGGCAGAGACACAGGCAGGGGAGAAGCAGGCTCCATGCAGGAAGCCCGATGTGGGACTTGATCCTGGGACTCCAGGATCACGCCCTGAGCTGAAGGCAGACGCTCAACCACTGAGCCACCCAGGCATCCCAATGGATTCTTTTTCATTTTGAATTGCTATTCCTATTCCATCAACAACAGGAGCTTTGTTTTTTTTTTAAAGTCCAGGGCAAAGACTATAGGGCAGTTAACATTCCTGAGGCCTCAGTATGCCAGGAGACACGACAGGTCGCCACAAACCCAAACCCACAGCAAATGCATCATGCGCTCAAACCTGAGGGGAGGGGTGGCCCTGCCGAATGCAATGGCCAATGAACCTTCAATTCCAAATACATTTGATCACATTATAAATCTGTTATTTGGCTGCACAAACAGACTTGACCATCCCTATTCCTTCAACAAACACTTCCTGAGCCAGGTGTGCTGTTCTGGCACCGAGAATCCAGAGACAGTGTGTGTGCATTTGTGTGTGTGCCCGCACATGCGCACATGTGCAGTCCCCACCCTTAAGGAGTGTGGTTTACTGAGCATAACAAGTAGTAAATCAACAGTTATGCTGATAAGTGCTTTGGGAGAGAGAAATGCAGGGTAGTCTGGAAGGCGGGAGGAAGGTCACGTCCAGGTCACAGAGAGGAGCAGGGTGGGAAGGAAAGTGTTCAGAAGAGTGGAAACCTGTCCTGAGCCACTGAAATGGGAACCAGGGGGTGGGTCATTCCCAGGAGGGCCCAGCAGTGATGGCTGTCAGGAGGCTGGGCTGAAGTTAGAAATCCAGGTTAGGGAAAGAGTGAAACAAGGAATGTGGCCAAAGGCCCGATCATGAAAGACCACAGGCCTGCCAAAGGGGCTTAGGATTTATCCCAAAAGTAACGAGGAGCCCTTGGGGAGTTTTAAACAGAAGAAAGCCATGATCAGATGCGGGAGTTATAAACATCATGCTGATAAGGAGTGTGGGGGTGGAATGAGGCAGGACAAAAATGGACACAGGAAGACCAATTAGGAGGCTGTTGAAAGAAATCCAAATGATGAGTCCTAAGGGAAGGAGCGGGGAAGGAAGAGAAGGGAGTGGACAAATCAGAAGATGTCCTCTTCAGTAGGACGCTGTGACTGACAGAACGTGACAGGTGAGGGAAAGGACAGAGCCAGGGACGCCTTGTGCAGGAGACTGCAGGGGCAGGCAAGGCAGGAGACATGGGGAGACAGAAGCAACTGGGAGCAGGTCCTAGGCCGGCTCTGCAGTTCCTGGGTGACTGCCGGGAGGAGGCGGGCAGTGCAGGGGCTCACCCAAGCACAGTCCTTGCGGGGATGAGAAGGGACCAAGGAAAGGCGTATTCAGGGTAAGGACAAAGGAAAGAGAAGTGGCAAAGCAGGCTGCGGAGGCGAGGTCTCTGAGGCTGGAGGAGAACCAGGAGAGGCAGGCCGGGTAAAGAAACCGCGTACCTACCAGGGAGGGGAAGGGAGCACTCTGCGGGCCACAGACACGGGACCCAGAGAGGACGTCCGCACTGCTGGGAGCCTTTAGTTAGCTGTTAGCAACCGTGGCCCAGCAAAAGAATGAAGAAGCGTAGACAGTGCAGCTGACGTGTGTAGAGCCCCCAAAGAGAATTAGTATGACTTCGCCCCCAACAACCCCTTTCATCTGGCTTCATTCCTTGGTGGGGCTTTCCCCATGACCCTGATTAAACTAGGCCCCATCACCCTCCACCCCCCTCCCTCACTTTATTTTTCTTCAGAGCATTATCATGCCTGCCTGACCTTACATTATACATCTCACATATTTATTGTCTCCCCTACTGAAATTTCCTCATGAGGACAGCGAATTTGTCCTGTGTCAGCTCCACAGTCACAGTGTCAAGAGTAGCACCTGGCACACAGAGGTGAAGCACCTTGTCCAAACCTTTCTAGCTCATTAGAAACAACGAATATTTACTGAGTACATCCTCCATGGTAAGACCATGCTAGAAGCCGAGGGACTGGTGGTAAACAAGACAAGATAGGACCCTGCTCTTGGAGCTTAAAGTTGGAGGTAAGCAGAGAGAAATACCAAATATTTCAACAAAAAGTAGACGATAATTGCCATTGTGCTAGGACTGGGATCTGATGGTCATGACTTCCAGTGCTATTTCCTTTCCAAACCCAAGATTGTCACCTTCTCCAACTAATGGAAAATTTTACCTGGGGAAAACAGTTAAAGTATTTGAGGTTTGGTCTTGTTTCTTCCAGAGAGATCCCACGCTTCCTCCACCCTTTCAACAGACTCATAAAAAGTAGAAACACCCGCTAGAGGCTCTGAATATTTAACCTGTACAGCTCAATCTGTCTCTAGTCCTTCTACATGCGTAGGAGGAGATATCCCAGACTTAGGTGAGAGAAAACAGGGTGCAGTATCAATCAGGGGTCAGATCTAGGTTCCAATCACTTATGACCTTGGGCAGGTTACTCAACCTCTTTATGATAGGATTTCCTCACTGCTGAAGTGGGAATACTAATTCCCCGTGTTGGAGGTTGTTGCAGAGATGACATAAAATGACACCTACAGAGCACCCAGCACCGTGCCTGGTACATAGTGAGGGTTCAATAAATGGTGGCCCTAACCAGTTATACCTGTTGCTTTTATGAGCAGATCTCAAACAGCTATATTCACACAAATCAAGCCAAAAACAACGCAGAATTCAGACTGAAGAATGTATACTGAAAATACTCAGAGCACAAATTGACATCTGGTTGGATGACCTGAGGAATTATCTCGAAGTCCCATATGTGGGAAGATTCAGCAGTAAGAAGCCTCATTTCAGTTTCTTGCTCTCTACCTTCTTTTCTCCCTCAATTTAGGCAAATGCAACCATTTCCCCAACAAATCACATCTTGTCTTATGGCAAGAGTCCAGACATGGGCTGGATTCCGTGGTACAAGTTGTGGCAGAGCCAGGAGCACCACACCTTAAAAGGAACATAAGAACACAATCACAAGCCCAATGTACACACAAACCCCCAAACAAAGCTTGGCTCTGGAGAAGGAAATGAGAACTGGTCGCAGCATGCTGTGCCTGCCTCAAAGCCAAAGAAAAGGTAACTGTGACATGCAAATGTCCAAACTGCATGTGTATCTCCCTTCTTTTACCACCCAAACTTTCTCTGAGTGGTCCATTTCACTAATGTTTCTGATTCTTGATCCCTCATTTATGTCCATCCCTGTGCGGCCTGGGGCCCTCATCCTTATACTCCTCTTGTGGCATCACGTTCCTGTGACCAACTGGTCACCAATTCAGCAGCCTTCCTTCAAGTCCCTTATCCATAGTCTCTGCTGTCCTTCTCTTCCCTTCATGGGACTCTCCCCTCCTCCACCTTGGGTTCTCTTCCCTTCATCTTCCACCCAGAGCTATGCACACTCCCCAAGGCACAGCTCTCTGTTCATCCTGGGGAGAACTTATTTCATCCTGTGGCTTCCCTTTGGCATCTCTGGGACCAAACCTTCTCAGTTCAGGCTTCAGCCCTGCATTTCCAATTGTCTCCTGGACATTTCTTGTGGTTGACCCATGGTCATCCCAAATTTAGTGTAAAACCAGATGCATCAAGCATCAACCCCTCTCTGTCTCCAGTCTCCACATTTGTTGATGGTACCACTGAGAACTATCAAACTTTCATTTTCTTTGGCTCCTGTCTTTAAAGTCTAAAAAGACTATAAATCTTATGGTTTACCCTTTGCAATGTCTCTTCTCTTGGTCCTTTGCTCCCATATTAACCACTGTTAACCACACAATGTCACACGTGCATTGGGGCTCCTTGGAACATGCCTCCTTGTCTAGCTATCAGATGAAAGGTCTCAGCATATCATTTTTGCCATTTCACTTCTTTGCCCAAAATAACCTCAATGGCTTGCCACTGCCTCCAGGACAAAGTCCAAGTGCCTTAGCCTGACATTCAGGGTCTAGAGAAGGAGTCTGCAAACTGGAGCCTACAGACCAAATCCTATCTACCACCTGTTCTTGTAAATAAAGCTTTTCTGGGATCCAGCCACACCCATTCATTCATGGATTATCTGTGGCTGCTTTCATGCTACAACAGCAGAGCTGAGTAGCTGTGACAGAGACCACATGGCCTATGAAGCCAAAAATATTTACCACCTGACCCTTTACAGGAAAAGTTTGCTGACCCTGGTCTAAAATAATCATATCCTGCCAAAGTTCTTGCCATGACTCCTCTGGATGACGCTCTTGCTCCTGTGCGTCTGCTGCTGAGCCCACTTTCTTTGTATCTTACACCCAACTTCTCAAGCCCAAGAAGCTTATTTCACTCCTCTCTGGATTTTTCCTACAAAACACAGTCAAAGCCCCAGCCCTCCATGAGGCCAGCTGTGTCCATCCCCTCTGCCCCTGGATGTCCCTCTTCTGGCCTCCCTCTCTGCATCTTTCACAGAAACAGTGAAGTTTACTTCTCTCGTGGGTCCTTTCCACCTATACTACGGCTTCTCTAGAGTCTAGGCTTCGTAACCTCCACAGAGCTGTGCCAGCGATAACTTCCTTGCCATTCATTCCAAATACTGATCCTCAATAGCATAATTTGGTAAGAAGGCATCAAACAAACTTACCAGTGAAGGCCTAGGATTCCACATTTGAAAACTTAACTTTGGATCCGAAAGTGTGTACTCTAACCAGCACCACCTAAAAGCCAACGAAATAAGAGTTTAGCCTTAAGACAGAATACTTACACATGGTCTTTACATTTACAACGCCCAGTAAGTTTTGATTTACCATCCTCTCAGGATGCCCATTGCTATTACTTTGCCTAGAAAATCCTGCTCATCTTTCAAATCCCGGCAAGCCAGGCACCTCCTCCTCTCAGTTCCCATGGAACTCTGGTGAGACATTTATGGTAACACGTTACACATGGGAACATAATTTCTTATTTAGGAATGGGGGGGGGTCACTAGAGTATAGGCTTTTCAAGAGAAGAGACCTATTAAAGTTACCCCTTTTCTTATTCCAAGAACACTGTATTTAGGCAGTCCTCAAGAAGTATTGGTAAAATGGGTAGAAAAATAACTTAGTTCCTTAACACATGTTGAAAATTCTGCTAGGCCACAATTTTCCCTAGACAAATACATGCCTCAATCCCACTGCTTTTAATAAGCAATGGTTTAACAGGAAGGATTAATGAGATTAATCTGCTAAATGCACACCTTTGGAATGGCACTCCCCTGGGCAGAGAGCCTTCAGAGGCTCCCAGAATCTAAAAAGCAAGCCCAACTCCGTGAGCAGGCTGCCAGGCCTGCACCAACCGGCTCAGTCCGAGTCCACAGCCTCAGCTCACATGGCCTCCCCCACTGACCTCACAACCCAGACAAACACAGCTAATAGCAGGTCCCTTCCCTCTCTGCATTCCCTCCAGCTGGATGTGTTTTTCCCCTTCTTCTCTTATTTCCTATTGAAATGCCATCCATTTCCAACATTGTATCCCAGATCAAGTTCATGATGGGGCCATCAAGTTTTTTTCTCCTCTGATGGTAAAATGCACATGACATAAAATTTATTATCGTAACCATTTTCAGGTATACAGCTCAGTGGTATTACGTACATTCATGCTGTTGTGTAACCGTCACCACCATTCATCTCCAGAACTCTTTTCCACGAAACTGAAACTCTATACCCATGAAACAATGAACTCCACTCTCTCCCTTCCCCGCCACAAGTCTCTGAAACCCAGTAAGTTTTTGTGGAATGCATAAATGATGAATGAAGACATGAATGAATGTGACCTCAACCTTCCCCACAAAAGCCAGAAGTGCTGTCCCCCTTCTACTAGACTCCCACTGCACGGTCTTCATCTTCCTTGAGTTATTTCAATCTTAAATGATCTGTTTTGCATAACTGTATTCTTCTGTGGAGGAAACTGACTTATTTGAAAGGTTAAGCTTGGGTCTAAAAGCCTGCCATTGGTCAGTCCTCCATGTTGCCAGATCCAATGAGCAAGTCTCGGACCTTGTCTCACAGTCTTTGATACTCATACACCATTCCCTCTTGTTTGAGGACTCTTTTCACTTGGCTTCCAGGTTAGCACTCTTGGTTTTCCACCCACTTCATTAGCTTTTCTTTCCCTTTGCTGGTTCTTCCTTATCTCCCCACCTCTTAATGTCAGAGGGCCCCAGGGCTCAGGCCTTGTTCTCATCTCTTCTCTGTATACCCTCAGTCACCCTTGCCTCCCACGCCGGTGGTCTCACCTAGTGTCTGGGATTCATATGTCATTTGTATGCTGAGGATGCTCAGATTTCTCTCCAAGCCTGGAACTCTCCTCTCAATTCAAAGGCTAGTAGAATATATCCAACTGCCTGCTTCAAGTAAGATGCCAAGTAGACAGGAGCTCTGCGTAAGTCACGTTCAATGTGTCAAACTGAACATGTCCAGTGAGGAGCCCTGGCCTTCTCCCAGGCCTGCTCCTCCAAGCCGTCCTCATCTCAGCTTAAGACAATGCTCTTCCAGTCACCCAGGCCCAAAAGTTTAGAGTCATTCTCATCTCGTCTCTCTTACTCCATAGTCCAATCCTTGCAACATTGGTTTGTGCTTCAAAATATGGCCAATTCTCACTCCCTCCACCATTGCCAACATAGATAATTGCAATGGCCTCCTAACAGGTATGCCCGCTTTGGCTCCTCGTGTCACTCCTCCCTCCATCCATGGTCTAGTCCTGGTTCAGGAGGGAATTGGTCACAACATAAGTCAGAACAGGTAATTTCTTTGCTTAAAATCCTGAAAAGCCTTCCTAGCAAGGGCAATACCAAAGGGATGAATGTTTCTAAAGTAGACCTGCAGGCCCAGGGGCAGGCTTGTGGGGAGGAGAGCTCTTCAGGTCAAGGTCCTCCTACCATCCATCTCTCAACTAGCAGTCCTGGCTGCAGCTCCTATTAGCTGAGTTCGTAAAGAAAGGAAACATTTTGAAGGAAGAAAAATATAATCAATCAGCTTTTTTTTCCAGTTAAGAAACCACAAAAAACCAACAACACTCACATTTCTCAAGAAGCAAATAAGATATGTCAAGTCTGCCACCACTTAATAACTAGTTTCCAAAGATAAATCTAGCCTTTCAGGAGATAGTTATTACCCCCTTGGTGGCAGTGTTGGGGTGGGGGGTGATCCTCCTTAAGTCCCTCTTCTTCCTGCATCCTCCAGCTGGTCATCAAGCCCTGGTTGCCTGATTGTCTCTAGACTTTATCCCACTCATCCTCTTTACCAGGGCTGTGGCTGGAGGCGAGGTCCAAAATGAAACAACTAAGGCTTTTAATTAGCTCAGCTGGGATGCCTGGATGGCTCAGCAGTTGGGCATCTGCCTTCGGCTCAAGGATGATCCCAGGATCTGAGATCGAGTCCCACATTGGGCTCTCTGCAGGGAGCCTACTTCTCCCTCTGCCTGTGTCTCTGCCTCTCTCTCTCTCTCTCTCTCTCTCTCTCTCTCTCTGTGTGTGTGTGTGTGTGTGTGACATGAATAAATGGATAAATCTTAAAAAAAAAAAAAATTAGTTCAGGTCTCATCCGCTCTCCTTGGAGCTCCAGCGACAACCTCCTAACTAGTCTCTCCACCTCTAATCACTTACTTATTTCCAACCACAACCCCCAGACACAGTGTCTGAAATGATTTTAATAAAACCTAAATTTGATCAAGTCCCCTGCTTAAAATTCTCCAAAGAGTTCCTACATTGCTGTACTATAAATTCTTCAAAACATATTATAGTAGGCCATGATGAATATTCTTTTTTTTTTTCTTATCTTCCATAGACACTTTTCTTCCACCTTCTTAAAAAGACCAAGAATACCCCCAATAAGGGTGGGCAAATGATCCAGCCCAGATTAGAGCATTCCACTCCCTGGCAACAGTGATTGGCCCCAAGGATAACCACAACACCCAACCTAAGCAAGTCAGAGACTTTCTCTAGAACTGATAAACAGATGTAGCCATGTCACCGCAACTGCTAAACTGGGGCTGTCAGCAGTGGTGCCCCGGGAGGTAGTCTGTCTGCAGGAGGAAACACTGATGCCAACATACAAAAACAGAAGACAGGCAGCTAGATGGACCCCTAGTGGCACCAGCTCCCATTCCAGAACCTCTTCTTTTTGAACTCCTACAGCATCCTGCCCAGTTATGGAACCAATAACTACCCACTTATGCATCAACTAGTGGGGGTCTTGACAGGCCCATCACGGCATTACCCATACCCGTGTCTTTTCCCCACACTGCTTCTTCTGCCCAGAATACATTCTCCTTGGATTTTACATAGCAGCCAGATTTTGAGCTCTATGGAGCCTTCCCTGAAGGGCAGCACCATTAGTCCAGTCTTCCAGAAGTGCTCTAAAATGCCTGGAATATGCCCGCTCTATTGCACTTGGACACCTCAAGGCCTTCCCAATCTTAGCTGGTTGTCCAAGCTAGAAGCCTCACACTCAACCTAGTCTCCTTGCACTTCCTTGTTGCCATGTGGACTCTCCTTCCTCTCCACACCATGTCTACCATCACAGCACAGGACTGGATTATCTATGACCTGGGCCTGGACAACAGCCTCCCATGTCTCTGCCACTTCCCCCATCCCATTCCTCCACACCACCATCAAGGCCCCCAACCACCTACTGAATCAAATCCCTGGGATTTTAAGGGCCCCCACAAACTGGCCCCAACCTATACTCTCTAGCTGCTGCCAACCACTTCCACTTCCAAGAAGATGGAGTGCAAGTAAGACTCCTGGACACTATGTATAAAGCAAACATAAGAAATGTCTGAAAGGGCAGAGTGAAGAAGGCAGACCTCAGGACTTGAGGAATGACACCATGGTGAGTTCCCAGCATTTTCTTTCTTTTTCCTTTCTTTACTTCATCTATCCCAGACTTGGAATTGAAGAAGCCAGCAACCTAGAAGTATAAAAGGTGCACATGCGCACGTACACACACACACTTTAAAAAAGCCTGAACAAAAGCTTGTGCCCTCTAGCAAGACAGAAAACTTTTAGATAGTAAGCCCTCTATTATCGCCAAACACCAGAGAAAGCCCTATTTCACCTCCACCCATACCGGCAAAGTGCACATGGCATCTACAAAAATCCCTACAGTGAACAATCCACTTGAAGGTAGAAGGCTGCCTTCTCCCCTAGACTAGAAACAGACAATGATGTCCACTCTGACCAATCATATTCAGCACGGTACTAGAGGTCCTGGGCAGCACAAAGGACAACAAAGAGAAATAAGGAACAGTACTGTTTTGCTCTCCAGTGAAAACAAAATCCCTAGCCGGTGTCCAGCACCTAGTAGGCATGCAACATCTGTTGCCATGACTCACACTCTGCTCTGTTTAAGATAGATTTTCTCCCCATTTATGCTCCCACTGCGATCACTGCCTATTAAAAAGTTCTAGCTTCTGCCTTGGCAGGTCATGATTGCCAAGGAAGGACCAGAGAAGCTGTTTCCATTCTCACTCCCAAACACACATATGCTCTTACATTGCAGGCAGCAGGGATTGGAAGTGGCTTCTATAGGCATCTCTCAGCCACCCGGGGGGAACATCAGGCCCTTCCACATCAGTCCAAAGTGGCCCCAAGGCTTGGGCCAAAGACTCCAAATGGTGACGTGGGACCACTGCTTATGTTGTCTCCTCCAGGTTCTGTGCTGGGAGGACCACAAGTGCC